ATGATTGGAATCAATGAGGGAAGAGTGCACTGTTGACATTCTGACTTCATATAATAACTTCCCCACAAAAATGTTTTTATTATAAAAAACACCTTGACAGATAAGGAAATTTGAGAGAAATTGAAAATATGAGATAACCATTTGAGAGAGTTAAATTAACTATAACTATTAAATCAGCAAATGTGAACACATTCTTACACATAATTTACTTTGTAATATATTAATTTCTCTATCCTTACGTTAATCAGTTATTGATATTTGCAATTTTACAGCACTGCTCAAAAATATGTTTTGAAGTTGTAGGTATAAATTAATGAAAGAATGTAGCTTAAAACTAAAAATGCTGTTGTATTTTTTCAGTTGAAATAAAAATAGTAAAAGCATGAACATATTTGGTGTTTCAAGCTGCCACTTTAAATATAGTAAACCAATAGTTAAACACACATAATATTGCCATTGCAAGTATATGTAACAGGATTATTTGTGCAGACTTTTAATTAATAACAAATCTGTTATTAATTCATAGATGGACATTTTTCAAATGAGAAAAGTAATTCTTCAATTATAAATGGAATTAGTCTCCCAAGTTTACCCAAGTCTAACAAAAAAGTATAAGCTCTTTTCTACTTATTTTATATTTGAAATTATTTTCTTGGAGAGATTAGACCTTATAATAAATATAATTACACTCTTTACCACTAGGATGAAGGTTTTATGTTTTCAAATACAGAAGGAAAACATGAATTGGGAAAACACTGGGTTTTAGTTGTTTATTAATATAAGTTAGCTTACAAGATATCAACGTGATGGTTTTCACTAATAACTATAAAAAAGTGAATGTGGAGCTGGAGAGATGGCTCAGTGGTTAAAAGCACTGACTGCTCTTTCAGAGGACCCGGGTTCGATTCCCAGCACCCACATGGTGGCTACGAACGAACCGTCCTTAACTCCAGTTCCAGGAGAATCTGCAGCCCTCTTCTGACCTCCACGACATTGTACAACACGGGTGCACTCACATATATGCAAGCAATACACTTATACACATAAAATAAAAATAATAACAAATATTTTTTTTTTAAAGTGAACGTTTTACGTGTGTAACATCGGGTTTTAATGTAAGTTAAGGTGAATGCCGCCATTCCTTTCATTGGATGCTTTTCCCTTTTAAATAAATTAAAAAGAAAGAGATTCATGCAGAGCTCTTTACTTTTACTCCTTTTTCTTATTTGCACCCTTCCATTCAATGCTCACTCTCAAGCTTAAAGCCCTTAATCAAAGAAAATTCTGATCTTGACTTTGAGTGCAGTTATCTGAGAGCACTCATGTAGCTCAATGATGCCTATAATATTTTATGTTAGGTCACCATTTAGGAATATTTGCACTTAAAATTAAATTACCACTTCAGAAAAAGAATAAAAATGCTATTTTTGATATTATAGTTCAGAGAGATTTAAACTGCCCAAAATTCTCCTGGATCTTTGAGATGTCAATGGATTATATTTTATTCTAAAGAAAATGCCGAAAAACTACAAATCAGTAACATAGACATGAACAACAAAGTTGCTTTGTTTTTCATTTCAGAAATTTCCAGAAAAAAAAAATCACAGTATAATATCAGCCTTGGTTTGGAGTAAAATTTATTCCAGACTTAACTTCCAATATATTTTAAATATAATACTTGTCCTTCTGTATACTTATGTACATAGGCTGGCATCATTTGAAAATAAATATTATGTGATAAAATTGCCATAAAGAAAATATTTGTCATTTTATGAGAAATCAGTATGAGTCAAAGCCTAAATCACTCTCCACATTTTCATGATTTTGGAGAGGCAATGTGCATATAAATTTAATCTTTAAAATAAAAAGTACTTATTTTCACTAAACTGAATAGAAAATGCTTATATATTTATGTTGTATATTAACTGCATAAAAATGGAAGTTATATTAAGTTCAGCAATTTTTCACAGAAATTGATGCTTTTATGCCTACTACTTCATTGCTTAGAAAATAATCTAATATAATTGAAATCAAGAAATTCACAGCATTTCTAGACAGTTTTCAGAATCTCCTGCTTTGTATCTTGTATCGATTGCTTTAACTACAGTTGTAAAGTTCTGACTTTTAAGAGTCCCTTTGAAGGTGTGGCAGATGTTGGCTTTACCAACACTGTTGGAAAGTATAGCTGCCTCAAAGTTTTGAAAATGTGTAAAACATAAAAATGATGTTGTGTTTTTCTAATAAACTAGGCTATTTTCAATTGTTAATAAATTATAATGGAAGACTCTAGTCTATAAGTATTTGCTTCTCTACCACTTAGCTTTGAGATGCTGTGTACATTTATTTTCATGAGTGTGTGTAGAATAGAAATACTGTAAAAGGTTACATATTGTAATCCTAGTATTGTTAGCATGGATAAAAATATAAGGTTTATACGCATGTTGGTTATTTATCTGTGTTATCTAGTACTTAAATTTCTATAAGAAATTAACTCAGTCATCATATATGCACTGGATTAGATGCAAAGTTATAGAGTATGGATTAGATGCATTGCCATAGATATAGATAACCATATGTATTCTCAGCTATAAATACATAGTGATTGCAAAATACCTAAAAATATAAATTGTCTCTACTATGCATTTCGTGATTTTTCATCTGATATTTTTTAAAACTTAAGTTACATGATATTAATTTATTTTTGGAGGAATGGTGAAATACTAAAACTATGCAATAATAAGACATTTGTGTTAATTATATAACTGGACAATAACTATCTCTATGGTGTTTTAGTCTCTGATAGATCAAAATGTTCTCATAATAGTTGGAAGTGAAGGAACCTTGAAATGAACATTCACTGTGAAAATGAAATGCTTTATCATCAGTACAGGAGAAAGACAGCTTGGATTTAAACTTACCTAAAGATCGAATAAATATTATCTCAGACCTTGAAATTGACAGTATGAGTTTTATTTTCATTAAATGTAGCCAAATAATTTATTACTCATTTTTAACATCCCATCCATTAAAACACTCATTCTAAGTCCCAGGGATTTAGCCTTTGTAATGATGAGTTGCATTTTCCACTTGTGTTGATGCTTTATGAACAGATACAACTTACTGTGTTTCAATACACTAAAATGAGCTTCAGTGAAAATAAGCTTTATTTTTCTGTATGGTTATTTCCACTGGTATAGGGGATAACTACTATTAGTCCATTTTAAAGACTTTTTTTTTATTAAAATAACAGGGCCATCAGTTTTTGAATCCCACTTTCTCTGCTTCCTCAACCAAAAATAACTTGTGCCTGAACAAAAAATTCCATTCGTGTAAAGAATCTTTAGAGCACCCGTTCAGTTCAGAAACATAAGAACCAGCCCACCACATAGCTTCTCATAGTAGAAAGAAAACTAACAGGGCTTCTAGTACTTCCTCAAGTCGGTTACCAACCAACTGAGACTCTCCAAATGTTTCTCTTCATCAAGCGCAGTCTGGGAAATGGTGTTTCATTCTAATACCTTCTTCTTAGGAACCTTTTCAACTATCTTAAAATTTCATTTATAGCTAGCAATATCCACTGAAAAAGGATGATAGCGCTGGTAACTTTCTTAGATACGAACCCATTTGTGATGGAGCATTAAAGTCCAGTTTTGACCTTGGAAAGTAAATGTTCAGCTTTGAGATTGTGATAAAGAATTCACCCTATACCAACTCTGAGGAACATAGCTGCCATTCTGTAACAAATCCCGAAATATACAGTCCAGTTTCTGTCTTTGTATAGCATAGTGCCTAAAACCTTTTTGAAGAATAAAGTTTAAAACAATTATTCAAACTAATATTTAGGATTATATTTTACTCTTAAACAAATTACGAGAAAGATTAGAAATATGCAAATGTTTGTTAAATAAATGACATCTTCCAAAAATAAGCAATCCAAGTTGCCCCTTAACTGTAAACACAAAATTTTTTAATTGTGAAGTGTCTTTACATAAAGCTGAGGGTTTCAAAGTGTTGCCAGGAAATCTTTCAGTTTCTTTGGATTGCTACAATGTACTGGGAACTGCACCTTTAGGCCAGTGAGTTTGCAAACACTCGCCTTTGGATGTGCTGGTCAAGTTTTCCGCATGCACAGTGCCTTCTCTGTCACCCAAGCGCATCTTCAGGCAAAAGGGGGAAGCAGTACTGTTATGGAGATGCTGTTCACGTCCCAGTCCTTGTCCAATTACTACTTAACCGAGAAAGGATTTTATTTTCCACTTTTGAAGCTTTTTTTTCTCTCCTTAGATTAGCATCACATGAATGCTATCATTAAGACTGATCTTTTCTCGAGCCCCATTCATTTACAATCCTCTGATACATTCCTTCAAAAAGTTCTAAATTCCTAGATAATGCGCTTTTTTTCACCAAATAAACGGACTTTAAAAAAATCATTTGGAATAGGGTGCTATTTAAAGAATTCTGAAATCAGAATGTTAAAAAATAATAAATTATTTTTTCTCATGCACTTTGCCAAGTTCCCCTGCAAGTTCCAAATATTGTGCAACAATTTGGAAAGTCGATTAACGATGGGAAAAGTTCTGCCACTGGGGGTCGGGAATTTGCAAGGAAAAAGTCAAGGAGAGACACACGCACACATGCACGCCCAGTGGATGCTAAATCCCAGAGTGCACACCCTTCCCGACGCCTGCATGGACCGTCACGCTTTTCAATCGATTTCACATACTGTCACTTGCCTTTTTTTCACACTCTCTGGTAAACTAGTTTGGGACCTTGGAGGACTTAAAAGGCGGCTGGTTGTATGTTACCCTTAAGGGAAGCACGTGCCCCCAAATTACAGTACCAAAGCTGCCCCGCAGAATTTGACCACCAGGAGCCAGGAAGGACAAGATGTTTCTCATCTGACCTGTCTTCTCACGAAGTTGGGAGAAACTTCCCTGGCATCTCCCCGCCCCCTTTGCAGCCCCCGCCACTCTCACTTTGGGTGTTTTGCAGGCGCTTACCTGAGCTGTCGCTCTTCCTCTTGGTGCCACTTCTCTTCTCCACCTCAGCGGGTGACAGCGCTTGGCGGCCGTAGTCCCCTGGTGCGCATGCGGCGCCGGTCGGGGTGCTGGAGCCCAAGCTTGTTGAATTGGAACACAAGACCGGTGGGCTGCTCCCCAGCTCCGGGGGCCCTCCAGAGTCCGGCTGCAGGCAGAGGCTGTGCCGGGCCGCGTTTGGTGGGGAGGACATCTGCGGGAGGTGCCAGTTGGTTTGCAGAGCCTGGTGCTGTTGCTGCTGGTGATGATGGTGGTGGTGATGGTGGTGGTGGTGGTGGCCCCGGTGATGCTGGCTGGCAAACATGCCCTCCTCGTTGGGGTATCCCGCTATAATGCAAGATGAGGAGGACGTGGAGAGTTCGGGATATGACATATGGTCAGATCTTCCGTGGAGGGCCAGAGAGGACTGGGAAAACGGGTGCAATCCTTGCGCCGTGGCGTGGGGGCTGCGCAAGCAGCCGAAGAGAGGGTGTTCCATGGCATGCAAGTTTCAGCTTCCCGGCAGAAGACTTCAAGAGGATCCCAAAGTCCACCAAGCTCTGTTACTTTTCACTGGAAATCCTATGACTCTTCCCCCCAACTCCCAAAGTAAGAGTCGCGAGTTTGTGCAAGCTGGGCAGATCCGGATCCTGAGCCCCAGCGCCTAGGCTAGTCTCCTTCACATCTAAACAGTGGGACCTGGAGGAGCTTCCCTCGGAGCTACTCAGATGTCAAGTGTGGGAGAAGTGGAAGCCAAAAGAAGGTGGTCCCAGAGAACTGCTTTTAGGGGGAAATGGCTCTGAGAGGTTATAAATAGAGTGTAACGTGAGCTGGGGGCTGGCTTAGGCGCCCAGCGCTGACCACATGCAAACTCCCTCCAAAACTCCCGCTCAGCCTGCTCCACCACGCGCTCCACTTCCACTTCCCAATAGCTGGCGGGACAGAAGTCGCATGTCCACGCCCGGCCTGCTCTGACAACCGCCGGGACAACCAGTGGCACGCCGGGCGCCTCAGTCCCACCCTGCCACCTCGCCCCGTTTCAGCAAACTGCGGATGGCCAGCCTCACTGCGACTCCCAGCAGCCCAAACTCCGCACCCAGTGCCCCAACCCTCACGTATTTCTCCGGAAATATGATCTGTCACAGCTTTATGGGGAACTGTCACCTGCTGGAAAGCCAGGAGCGCGTCCTGCCCTTGAGGGGCACAGAGGATTTTTTTTAGGGGCCACGGGAAAGATGGGAGCTAGTTTGGAGCTCTCTAGGAGTTTTTCAAACTTCGTGACTCTCAATTTGAGGAAGGACTGGGGCGCGGTTTTTGTTTTTTGTTTTTTGTTTTTTTTCTGGGTGTCTGATACATGGGTTGTTAAAGGACTCTGACGCCAGGTCGGAGGTTGCAGGGCTGTGCATCAGGGATAACACAGAGGGGTACTTTGTGTATAAAGGAGAGGGACGCTGTGGGGTGACTAGATGGAAAACGTAAGCCAGAGACCAACGTGAATTCAGGCGCCCTGGCATCACACTAGTGTCATGCCAAGTGACATCCCTCTTCCTCTGCATTCCGATCCTCCTCCACCCCAACCCTTCCTCTTTCAAGGTCTGGCTCAATTTCCTACCCACATCTGTGGACTGAACTTTCAGGGATACGGAAATTTCAGAAGCAATGGTGTCCCTCTTCCATGAGAAGCACACTTGCATCCGCCTCACCCTTCAAGAGCCAATTCAACCCCTTCATTTCCTTCCAGAAACTCTCCTTCTTTGCTTTCCTCTGCTGATCGCATCCTGTTCCTTCTTCACCACTGTTTTCTTTAAGAGGGCAGTTAGCATTCTCCCAGAGTTCCCAGTTCTTGGGCGCTTCAGGTCTCCAGGTTACAATTTGCACCCCTGGTAATGAGTTACAAAACTTGCCACCTGTGAATTTGTGAGCATGAGGGCTGGGCTTTAATATAGCCCTTGGCTTGGAGTGCCACAGGGTCTGCCTGAGGCTTAGTTGTTTACCCTTAACAAGCAACATGGGCTGAGCTGTAGGAAAGTCAAAGTTCTGGGATGTGTCTATCAGGATGCCTACAGTCGCCCCATGCAGGGATTTGATTATGCCACCACATTGTCCCTTCCTATGTTCATTGTCTCGGTGATCAGAAGATGATGACGAAGTCTTGCTGTTTTCTTTAAGAGGGCAGTTAGCATTCTCCCAGAGTTCCCAGTTCTTGGGCGCTTCAGGTCTCCAGGTTACAATTTGCACCCCTGGTAATGAGTTACAAAACTTGCCACCTGTGAATTTGTGAGCATGAGGGCTGGGCTTTAATATAGCCCTTGGCTTGGAGTGCCACAGGGTCTGCCTGAGGCTTAGTTGTTTACCCTTAACAAGCAACATGGGCTGAGCTGTAGGAAAGTCAAAGTTCTGGGATGTGTCTATCAGGATGCCTACAGTCGCCCCATGCAGGGATTTGATTATGCCACCACATTGTCCCTTCCTATGTTCATTGTCTCGGTGATCAGAAGATGATGACGAAGTCTTGGAAATTGCTTATGGGATTAATGGGTACAGGACCTGGGCTAGACATCTGGTTTAAATTAGGAAAAAAGTATTGATTAATCTCAGAAGGGTGTCCCCGAGGCAGAGGGTTTCCCTTTGCCTGTCTTTCTGGCTTAATCTGTTGCTCGGTTCTTTTAAGAGGTGTTCCAAAATAGTGACTTCAAATAAACCTTCACTTTGTGTGAAAGACCGAATTCTTTTTCAAGTCTTAGAGACAGGGTGGAATGGAGGTTGATCAGTAATTCAGAGATTTGTAAGCGCTGCTTTCTTTAACGGAAATTGAGCCCTATTTTGAGGGAAATTAGTTTTGCAGACTTCGTTAGAAAAAAAAAAAAACTAAAACTAAAACTTTTGTTCACCAGCTGCTCAGCTTTTCAGTTTGAGTCTGAGCTGGAACCTGCCGCAAGTCCTTGACGGTAAGGCTTTCTTTGCCGGCATTTTGGAATCTAATATTGTTTTAAACTTCAAAAAGGGGTGCTGGATATACTTCAGGGTGCATGATTACTGAAGACTTCAGGCGCCAGCAGGTCAGCATTCAGGACTTAAATCTGAAGACTTTTTCTTCCTGCCTGTCCTCATGCCCTTGGCTCTTTAATAATTAAAATAGAAAGGGGGTGGGGAGATATATTCCTCCTGTAACTGTGGAATGTATTTTGAAATTTCATTGTGTTTATGGTTTAAGTGTGTGCTCTGATATTTAACATTGAGATCCAAAGAGCAGCACTAACCTTCTTTAACTCATGGAACACCTCAATGGATGCTGGGTTCTGAAAGTATTAAGGTTTTATTCAAACTGAAATTTAGGCAACCACCTCAATAAACACAATCAGAAATATTTGCATGCTATAAGTACCATCAGCTAGTAACAGTGTAAGAAATGTCAGACAAGATAGAAGAAAAGGATACCTCATCAGCAGAAAAAGGTTTAAAAACTCATAAAAGGTCTTTCTAGTTTATTATATGAATTTAGAAGAAGCCAAGAAATTGCTAAATAAAAGTTAGATTTAATCAGGGAATCGCAGGTCAGAGCGACTAGCAAACACAAAGCATCTATCTCCAGAGAGGCTGGTGATTTTGTGAGCCTGCCCAGTGGCTGTGCTGGCTTCCTTCTCATTCAGTGCATCCGATGTTAACAGCATGTCCAGAAATTCCTCTACAACCTGCCTCAGTGAGTAACCTTCTGGAAATGTGAGGCTTGCAATCTGGGAAGGAAAAGTGAAAAAAAAAAAAAAGTTAGGAAAGGGAGGACTAGCTTCCAAAGGCATGCACTTAAAGCAAAGCTAACAAGGTCTTTTTAACTGAAGACACAGAACATTAAGTAGCATAAGAATTATGAGGCTCAGATTTCTAATAGAAAATATAATACAAGCAAAATTGGGAAGAGGAAAAAGTGATTAAAAGGAAATGGAGTAAAAGGTCTTGTTGCTTTCAAAATTAAATATTTACTACTAAGTGTTCCTTAAAGTTTAAATACCTACTGCCCATTCCATAACTTTCAAAATTCCCCTTTATTAGAATATTTGAAATAATATAGAATTTTTATTTTTATTTTCTAGGTCATGAATTTTTAAAAATATAGTAACAACAGAAAATTAAAGAGAACTTTCTAAAGGAGCTACTTCAATGTTTGTAACTAAAATTTAATGATATTTTTTTTTGCTTTTTTAGTAATAATATAAATTATAAAAATTATAATATGAAATAATTTCTATGTAACTGTCACTTAAGCTATAGTATTTGTTCTTTATGAACAATATGCCTCAGTATTAAAAAAATATCTGTCAGTGTAAATGTAAAATTTAGGGTTTTAATATCAAATAACATATTGCAGAGACTGACTACAGGAAAATGGAAGCTGCTTTTAGCTCTTGTGGGGTTATGACCAAAATTATTTTAGGTGTGCTAGGCTCTTTAAGCCTGATAGGCACATATATTGTTCCCTCTGTTTAAATGGAGTGATACTCAACAATAATGAGCAATTTTTAAAATTAGACTATTTTATCTAATGGGGCATTGAACTCATTTAATGTTTACAATTTAAGTTTCATGGTGACTCAAATCTGTCATTCTATACTTGTGGAAGAGGTTAGAGCTTTTTGAGCAAAGGAGGAAATGAGTTGTCATCATTGTCATCGATATTTTTTTAATGTGTATGAGTATATTGCCTGCATGTATGTTAGTGCACCCATGTCATGCAATGCCGCGGAGGTCAGAAGAGGGCTTTGGATTCCCCTGAAACTGGAATTAAGGATGATTTGTAGCCTCCATGTGGGTGCTGGGAATCGAACCCAGGTCCTCTGCAAGAGCAGTTAGTGCTCTTAACCACTGAGCCACCTCTCCAGCCCCCCCCCTTTCTAAAAAAATATTTTCTTTCAAGGGATATTGAGAGTTAAAATTGAATATGAAAATCTCTTCTTTGTATTATATCTGAGATATACAATATATAAAGTATGGGTGATTAAATTATACCTGGAAATTGACTCTGAAAGTTTTAATGAGTTTAGAAATATCATTTATACCATATGTCCACCAGAAATACAGTCATGTCCTTTTAAAAATTGTTTTGAAATTATGAATTTAAAAATACATTCAAATATCTTAAGGACTTAGTGACAGTTTAAGTGATTTATTATATACTCCATTTTAATTAACTAAGGAATTGTCTTTGTCCGGCAATCATACACTATAAAATTTAAAGAGCAAATCTCCTGAGGCTAATGCACTAATCAGTGAATATATGTATTTTTCTAGACTTTTAAAAATACTGCTGTTTTAACATAATATTAATTGACACCTTTATAATAATAATAATTTATTTTATTTCTACAAGTGGTAGAAATGAACGTTTAAGCCTTACTTCTGAAGTGTTAAACATTATCCAAATGCTCTGTTTCTCTAGTTTCTATCTCTTTTTACATTTAGATTTATGATTTCTTTTAGAAATCTGTGGTTTTCCTCAACTCAAGTACCATATAGTAAATCATACTTTAGCAAACACTAAGTACAGCTGTGCTTAAAGCCACGAGACAAAACAAAATATATGAAAACTAGAACATTTAAAAAGGCAATGTTCTGAAAAACAGCATGACATACAGGTCATGATTAATAACTTAGGTTTCAACAGTTTCATTAGAAATTCAAAATATGTTTGCTAAGCCATGATTCCAATAACCTCCACATTTATACATTTTATGAAAATTAATTTTGACTTTTTTCTGTCTTCATCTTCGGGGACTATTAAAATTGGGAGGACCTTGCCTGCCGCTCCAATTTAAAACCTCTTCTGTCTAGACTTTCTTTTGTACACCTGTTTTAAAGTCAGACTTACTGGACAGTTACCCTAGAATGATCAAAATGGGAAATAATTATATTTGATTCTTATTTTTTCATTCCTATTCACTGTCTATTCTTTTTATTGACAAATTGAGTCAATATTTTAAAATCTTACAATTGAAAATCATCTTTTCATACTTAAATGTGAGCTGTATGAGACTATTAATGTAAGATATTTCATTTTTAATGTAGGAGATTTCTATAATAAAGTGCTATATATTGCATTGTATAT